GCTGCTGCGGGTGCTGAGCCTGGGGGTGCTGACTCTGGGGGTACTGTGCGCGGGGGTGCTGAGCCTGGGGGTGCTACTGCTGGGGGTGCTGGGCCTGAGGGTGCTACTGCGGTGGGTGCGGAGCCTGGGGGTGCTGAGCCGGGGGGTGCTGTGCCTGGAGGTACTGGGTCTGGGGGTGCTGGGTCGGGAGCTGCTGAGCCTGGGGGTGCTGAGCTGGGAGCTGCTGAGCCTGGGGGTGCTGCGTCTGGAGCTGCTGAACCTGGGGTTTCTCCTGCTGCTGCGTCTCGCCGGGAGCCCCTCTCTCCACAGGAGCTGCGCGAGTGGTACGCTCGCCGCTGCAGGCGTGCTGCTGAGTCAAGAGGTGCTGCTGGAGCTGGAGCTGGAGCTTCTTCGACCGTCGAGGGTGCGGGTGCTGCCGGTCCTGGAGCTGCTGGACCTGCGGGTCCTCCTGGAGCTGGAGGTGCTGAGGGCGTTGGTGCTGAGCCTAGTGCTGTTGGTCCTGCCGCTGGAGGTGTGGGTGGCGCTGGTGCTGTCGCTGAGGGTGCTGGTGCTGTCCCTGCTGCGTCTGGAGCTGCTGAGCCTGGGGTTTCTCCTGCTGCTGCGTCTCGCCGGGAGCCCCTCTCTCCACAGGAGCTGCGCGAGTGGTACGCTCGCCGCTGGAGGCGTGCTGCTGAGTCTGGAGGTGCTGCTGGAGCTGGAGCTGGAGCTTCTTCGACCGTCGAGGGTGCGGGTGCTGCCGGTCCCGGAGCTGCTGGACCTGAGGGTCCTCCTGCAGCTGGAGGTGCTGAGGGCGTTGGTGCTGAGCCTACTGCTGTTGGTCCTGCCGCTGGAGGTGTGGGTGGCGCTGGTGCTGTCGCTGAGGGTGCTGGTGCTGTCCCTGCTGAGTCTGGAGCTGCCGCGCGGCCTCGGCCGTACTTCGTTCCGCTCCTACAGCAGGTTCTTGGTCTTTCTCCTTCGGTAGAGTGTCCACAGCCTGTCCAGTCGCAGTCACTGTTGGAGCCTTCCTCTCCTCTGCCTGCTCCCTCTCCTTACACTGGTCCTACTGGAGGTCTTGCTGAGCGTCGTGAGCCTGCGTCTCGTCCCGCGTCGCCTGTTCGTGCTGCTCGCGCTAGTGGTCGCGGTTCGCGTCAGCGTCCTCCTCCTGTCCCTGGCACGCACCGGATGTCTCTGCGTCCGTCCACTGCTCCTCTGCGTGCCCCTCTGCCTTCTCCTCCTGAGTCCTCTCTTCCTGCGCTTGCCGACCCTGAGTCAGACTCTCTTCGCGCTGCCAGTCCTACTGTCACGCGTCTGCTTGCTACTGTCGTCACTGACCCCTCTTTTGAGTCCACTGCTGCGTCTGCTCTAGTCGCTGAGCTCGTTGACTTTGCTGCTCGCTGTCGTCTCGACTACGCTGCTGGTCTTGTTGCTGAGTCTGCGTCTGTCTGTCCTCCGTCCGTCGGGGGTGAGTGTGCTCTTGGCACGGACGTCCTAGAGGACAGACAGGAGGAGTTACAGTGTCTAGCGGCTGCTTCACCTCATCTCGCGTCTGTACTACTTGCCCCTGAGGGAGACCCGGATGCATTAGACATCCCGACTCCGCGTTCTTACGCGGAGGCCGTAGAGGGTCCCTACTCCTCTCAGTGGCAGGCAGCTATGGATGCAGAGATGGCTTCCTGGAAGTCCACAGGCACCTACGTTGACGCAGTTCCCCCTCCTGGGGCGAACATCGTCAGTGGCATGTGGATCTTCAGGGTGAAGCGGCCGCCGGGCTCTCCACCTGTCTTCAAGGCGCGGTACGTTGCTCGTGGCTTCAGTCAGCGGCAGGGAGTTGACTACTTTCAGACCTTCTCTCCCACCCCGAAGATGACCACTCTTCGGGTGCTGCTGCACATAGCCGCTCAGCGCGACTACGAGCTTCACTCTCTTGACTTCAGCACTGCGTTCCTGCAGGGTAGCCTGCACGAGGAGATCTGGCTGCGCCGTCCACCTGGCTTCACTGGGACTTTCCCTCCTGGCACCCAGTGGAGCCTCAGACGGCCAGTCTACGGTCTCCGCCAGGCACCGCGTGAGTGGCACGACACACTGAGGACTACGCTTGCGGCTCTTGGGTTTGCTCCTTCTACTGCTGACCCGTCGCTGTTTCTGCGCACCGACACCTCGCTGCCGCCGTTCTACATCCTCGTGTACGTCGACGACTTGGTCTTTGCCACAGCGGACACTGCTGGACTCGCCTACGTGAAGTCCGAGCTGCTGAAGAGACACACGTGCACAGACCTGGGTGAACTGCGCAGCTACCTTGGCTTGCAGATCACTCGGGACAGAGCACGCCGCACCATTACCTTGACTCAGTCACACATGGTGCAGCAGGTCCTTCAGCGCTTCGGCTTCACGTACTCCTCGCCTCAGGCCACTCCTCTACCTACTCGCCACTCACTCTCAGCTCTGCCTTCGGATGAGTCCGTAGAGTCGAGTGGTCCGTATGCAGAGCTTGTTGGCTGCCTCATGTACCTGATGACCTGCACACGACCTGACCTTGCATACCCTCTGAGCATTCTTGCACGCTATGTTGCTCCTGGGAGACACAGACCGGAGCACATGGCTGCAGCGAAGAGGGTATTGCGCTACCTGTGCAGCACGTCGGGCATGGGGCTAGTGCTTGGAGGGCGGAGTCCAGTGGTCCTTACCGGCCACGCGGACGCTTCTTGGGCTGACGACCAGGCTACGCAGCGGTCGTCACAGGGTTACACCTTCAGCCTTGGTTCCGGCTCTGTCTCGTGGCGGTCTACTCGCTCGTCTTCGGTTCTCGGCTCCAGTTGTGAGGCTGAGATCTACGCCGGGGCCATGGCTGCACAGGAGCTTCGCTGGCTCACCTACCTGCTGACTGACCTTGGAGAGCCGCCTCGTTCTCCTCCAGTGCTGTACGTAGACAACAAGGCTATGCTGGCCTTGTGTCGAGAGCAGCGCTTGGAGCACAGAACGAAGCACATTGCTCTCCGCTACTTCCTTGCTCGTGAGCTGCAGCAGCGTGGTCAGTTGCGACTTGCGTACGTGGCCTCTGAGGCCAACACTGCTGATGTGTTCACCAAGGCACTCGCGCCTTGTGACCATCAGCGCTTTTGCACCCAGCTGGGTCTTGTGCCTGTCTTGCCTCACTTGCTCTCCTCTTGACTTCACTTGTACTGAGACATATATAAATGCCTGCTCTTGTTTGTCTAGTTTTATATATATGTCTGTACTCCTGCATGTGAACTGGCCTCTGGCCCTACTCTTGTGCTCGGACTGTGTGGTGACTTTGTGATCCACCCTGAGCTTGCTTTGCTTTGCTTGACTGGTCTTGTGACCCCTTGTTCTCCCCCACTTTGCCTATGGGGGTGTGTCAGATTTATATGACATAGTTGTTGTAGGCTATAGTGGGGTAGCACATATGGGGTACAGGGTTTCTAGGGTTGTATTTGTACCCATCTTTCCTTAGTCATTTTCATCCCTGTTCGTTTATTCTCACAAGTCGCACTCATTTTCACTCGCTCGCACACATAGACACTGGCTATCCCAGTGTGATTTGTCTCTGTCTCTGCCTCCCTTGAAGGAGTGCTGACGGAGCTCTGCCTCGTTGCACACTCATGCACAGTCACACTCATACATAGTCACTCTTATTCACACCCACGGTTGCACTTGGTCACACTCACATTCATGTAAACTTACACTCAGTCATACACACGGTCTTACTCAACTATCACACTCACACTCCCAGTTTCGTTCCTCCTCTGTTTCTGTCGCTACTGTGTTTCCTTCCAGCTGTGCTGGTTGAGAACAGCTGCGTGGTCCCGCTCGCTCAGGCATTCTCACTCCCGCTTGTGCTCGCACTCACACCAAGAAACTCACCTTTACTCTCACACACACTCACATTGGCCCTCACCCGGACACTCAGCCTCAAATGCTACTTCTTTTGTAATGCCTCTCTCTGCTGCTACACCCCGTCGCAACAGCTGTGCTGCCTGAGAACAGCCCCGTGGTCTCCCGTGCCTGGCTTTCACACACACACACACATCGGCTATCAGCCTCGCACTCATCCTCGCAGTGCTGCTTCTACTGTGATGCCTCTCTCTGTCGCTCCCCCTTTCCCAACAGCAGTGCTGCCATATAGCAGCCTCGTGGTCTCCCCTGCGTGGCTGTCACACGCGCTCACAGTGGCACTCACCCCCTTGCACTGATCCTCACAGTGCTGCTTCCGTTGGGATGCCTCTCTCTGTTTGCCACCCCCCTTTTTCCAATATCTGTGCTGCCAGAAAACAGCCGCGTGGTCTCTCCTGCCTGGCTGTCACACGCACTCACATTGGCTCTCACCCTCGCACTCATCCTCCCAGTGTTGTTTCCACTGTGATGCCTCTCTCTGTCGCTCCCCCTTCCCAACAGCAGTGCTGCCAGAGAACAGCCCCGTGGTCTCCCCTGCCTGGCTGCATGACAACCTCTCCAAAGTCAAGGTCTGTCTAGTGGGTGGTGTGGTAACATCACGAGGTGGTGGGTGGTGTGGTAGCATCACGAGGTGGCAGGTGGTGTGGTAACATTACAAGGTGGTGGATGGTGGTGTGGCATCACGAGGTGGCAGGTGGTGGTGTGTCATCACGAGGTGGTGTGCGGCGTGGTAACATCACAAGTTGGTGTTGGTGCAGCTGTATCACGAGAAGGTGTGTGGAGTGGCAGGATTACGAGAAGGTCGGTGGAATGTTATGATTACAAAAACATTGGTGGTGTGGCAGGATATGAGGACCCACCTTCGTCTTTATCTTTTCATGATCTTGCCACCCACATCACCAATCGTCTTGTAATCCTGCTACTCCACCCACTTTCTCGTAATCCTGTCACACCACTCACCTTCTCGTGATCCCAGCACACCATGCACCACCCCGGGATGTTACCACACCACCCACCTGCTTTCTCATCTACCGTTCTGCGGATTCCCTTATCACCGCTGCACCTGTGCAATATACATTCTTTGATGTGATGTAGTGAAGTGGCGCACAATGGTTCGCGTCGTGTGCTGCACATGCACGCGTGCGTGCTGTGATGTCCCCCTCCCTTTTCCCCTTCTCAACCAACCCCTCGAATGGCCAACAGCTGCTAGTCTCCTCGTGGTGCATGCCTGCAAAAAAATGCCCTTCAAACGCTCTTCCCCCACTGCTCAAAGCACCACTTCACATGCTGTCCCCTCCTCCTTTTCAACCCCCAACCCCAACAGGTGCTCGACGCCTCGTGGTACATGCCTGCAAGGAAATGCCGCCTCCTTCAATGCTCCATCCCCACGTCTCAACCCTCCCCTCCTCTTTACCCACCCCACGCCCTCTTCCCCACTCTTAACCCCAGCAGGTGCTCGACTCCTTGTAGTACTTACCTGCTGAGAAGCGCCTTAGCCTACCTGAAAATGCTGTTTCCCCCGTCAAAGCTCAATGCCCCACTCCTCGCCCAGTTTTCCCTCTGATCGCGCAAACCACACAGGTCCTGGACGCCTCGTGGTACATGCCTGCGGAGAAACGCCTCTCGTTTCACACCTCAGTGCTCAACGCCCCACTTCACATCCTTCCCCCAACCCCACTTCCCCCTTTAAACCCCTCACCATCAGGTCCTGGACGCCTCGTGGTACATGCCTGCAGAGAAACGCCAGCCGTTTGAGGAGTTTCAGGTGAGGAGTGTCGCTGGTTGGTTGGTTCTGTTCTGTGTGTCAAAAAAAGCATCATGAGAAGTATCTGGTCTTGCTGTGCTAATACGTCTATATCTGGTGAGGAGTTTCGTGTGTGGACATGTGAGTAACGCTCTGGATGCTGGGCTGGGAAGAGGAAGAAAGAGGGTGTGGTAGTTGGATGGACAGGGAGAACGTGTTTATGGTTCTGGATAATCAATACGGTTGAGTTTCAGGAGTTTGAGTAGACGGACAGTCATATGTCACTCTCTTGCTGCCCCTGCTATCTGTTTTTTAATGCCAAAATATTAGATTGAAATGTTCCCCGTGTCGTCCTCTTTTCGTCTCCCTCCCTCTCTCGAGAGCGCAGCATGGGAGGATCCCATCCCAGGAGCCATCCTCTTTTATGTTGATGCCATTGCTGAGACGTCTCAAGAAACATCCTCTCTCCTTCTCCCTCCCTGTCTCACGTGCACACTGCGCAGCATGGGAGGATCCCAGGAGCAATCTTCTTTGATATTGACGCCATTGCTGACCCCACCACAGATGTAAGTGCGTCACTTAGTTAAAAAATAAAAAGTTAATGTTTGAAGTGCGTCCGGCATTCAGATAAAATCCTATCGTACCACCGCCAGCCCTACACGAATTTGCCTTATTTCAAGTCATTCCCCTTGTCCCCATCCGTGTCTCCCACATATTCTATATTGTGTGACAGCTTCCCCACATGCTGCCGACAGAGGCCGCCTTTTCTGCAGCTGCGTCAGCTTTGGGTTTGTCATCTAGTGACAGCATAGTGGTGTACGATGGCAAGGGACTCTTCAGCGCCGCCAGAGCGTGGTGGTGAGTGGTTCAAAGTGGTGACAAGTGGTTGTGTTTAATTTTGGTGGTGCTTCTACTGTGTGTGAGCTGGTCGAAACTGGGTAGGTGTGACATGGCAATTTCTTAGCAATCCTCCCACTTCAACTTTTCCCTGCTTCCCCTGCTGGTTCCCAACGCACACAGATTGTTCCGTGCATTCGGACAGCCATACGTGGCAGTGATGACACCTCGCCTTTGCTCCATCCCCGTCCAGGGCCCTTCCCTTCCCCCCTCCTGCTCCTCCCTTTCCGCTTCCCAACACTCACAGGATGTTCCGTGCATTCGGCCAGCCACACGTGGCAGTGCTGGATGGCGAGAATGACAGAAAGCTCACATCTGCCGCCACTGCTTCTTTCCCCGCCCCCGTCCCTTCCCTTCTTCCTCCCCTTCCTCCTCTTCCTCCTCTTCCATTGTTTCAACGCACACAGGATGTTCCGTGCATTCGGACAGCCACACGTGGCAGTGCTGGACGGCGGGCTGCCAGCCTGGCGGGCGGCAGGTTACCCAGTGGAGGCAGAGCCGTCGGACAAGGCGGCCGGGCGGCACAAGGCGGCTGCTACTGCCATCAAGGACAGTTACTCTACAAAGGTGTGCACTAGTCTACCCAAAGGCGCCTCAAAACGCCTCAAAATGCACTTTTGAGGCGCCTCAAAATGCTCTTTTGAGGCGCCTCAAAATGCTCTTTTGAGGCGCCTCAAAATGCTCTTTTGAGGCTCCTCAAAATGCTCTACAAAGGTGTGTACTAGTTTACCCAAAGGTAATTTGGGATCCAGAAGGACAGATACCGCCCTTTTGGCTCGCAAGGCTAAAATCTCCTTACTGGTCCGCCTTCCTTGTACTCTCATTCCCCTCCTAACCTCCTCCCTCCACTCTCTCTTCCATCCAGGTGCATTAAACCGCCTCCTCGCTTTTACACCAAGATCCACTGATGTCCCTTTTTCTGTGTCTGCACCGCTCTCCAACCATCCAGGCCGCATCCAACCGCCTGCTCACCTTCAATGCCAAGCTGCAGCCCAACCTCATCCTGTCCGTTGATCAGGTGTGTCTCCCTTGCCCCTTCGTGCCAGATAAGGCTTGCGCCAGTCAATGCCTGCCCCAGTTAATGCCTGCACTGAACTCTGAACCAGGCGATCCTTTCAACGTTTCTTCTTCTGCTTCTTCTCCTCCTCCTTCTTTCATGCACTTCTGCTGTCTGACTGGCAACGTTTTTAAAACCTGTCCGCGGGCCAGCCTAGCAAGCCCAAATTGGTTAAGCCTTCCTAACTTCGGTTGAGTGTGACCCTGGCACCCAGAATCTTGGCCAATTGCATCCTGGCACCCAGAATCTTGGCCAATTGCATTGCTCGCCCCAACCAACCTTCCTAACGTTGAACTTCTTGGCCCGCGGGCTTTAACCGCTGAATGCCTTCAGGTGAAGGCGAATATCGAGAATAAGGTGTATCAAGTGAGCGATGCCCGCTCTGCTGGCCGGTATGCTGTGGTGGGAAAGGGTGGGGTGAGATGGGGTGGGTCCGCGTGTGCTTTGGTGTGGAGGCTGGGCGCGGTGGGGTGGGGTGAAGGCATGATGAAGTGTCATGGAAATGGTTTGCAGTTGATGGCATGGTGGCAAGGTGGCATGAACTGATATGATGGTGTGGTGGAAATGGTATGCCTCTTAGCTACTTATGTGTGGTTGGTGCTTGCTGCTGTGTATGGCATTGTAACGTCTTACGTTAATAAATTGAAAACTGAAGACCTCTTTTCAGTTTAGCGACGTAATGGTAACATGCCAAGATGAGAAACTGAAGACTCATCATTGTGTTTAATCCGTAACTGCGTCCAATTCCATGTGTGAATACACCTGCTCTCATAAGTACATGTATGTCTGATGTTATACATGCGTGCATGCAGGTTCAAGGGTATAGACCCTGAGCCAAGGGCAGGAGTACGAGGAGGAAGCATCCCAGGAAGCTTCAATGTCCCCTTTCCCGAGGTATAGTTCAGCCGAATGTGAGTCTGCATTCCATTGAACTCATTCGTAGCATAGCAAGAATGGCTCTATCAGGTTAGTTTTGAGGCGCCTCAGAACTCACCTCAATGCTCATTAGAGTCATTCGTAGCACAGCAGGAATCGTTCTATAAGAATTCGTTGAATATAAGCGTTGATTTGACTTCCGTATAGAGATTCATTATAGCTGCTGCTGACCCCACAGGGACAGTTAGAACCTGCCTCAAATCTCACCCAAGCCTTGCAATACCTACCTGAGTGTTAGCTTCGCTCGCTCTCCTTCTTCCCCCCCACACTGCCCATTGCCACTACCCATTGCCCGTTGCCCATCAGGTCCTGACCCCACGGGGACAGTTAAAGCCTGCCTCAGACCTCGCCCAAGCCTTCAAGAGCCACACTCACAAGCATTGCTGTGCGCTAGCTTCTCTCACCCTCCTTTCTTCCTCCCCCATTGCTCATTACCCGACGTCCCCCAGGTCCTGACCCCACGGGGACAGTTGAAGCCTGCCTCAGACCCCACCCAAGCCTTGCAATAGGCCATAGCTGAGTGGCTGCTCGTTGTTCCCCCCTGCCCGTTGTCCCTCCAGGTGTTGACCCCTCAGGGACAGTTGAAGCCTGCCTCAGACCTCACCCAAGCCTTCAAGAGCGCAGGCAAGTCCATGCTCGTGATTGGCCGTGGGTAAAAAGGAATAGAGAGGGGAAGAGCAAGAGGAAGAGCAAGGGGCAGAGCAAGGGGAAGAGCAAGGGGTAGAGCAAGGGGAAGAGCAGAGGAAGAGAAAGGGGAAGAGAAAGGGGAAGAGAAAGGGGAAGAGAAAGGGGAATTGGAATTTTCTGGTGCTGTAGGTGCTCGTTTGCTCCATGCTGCCATAACATGGTGGTGACTTCCCTCACACATTCTGGTGGTGACTTCCCTCACACATTCTGGTGGTGACTTCCCTCACACATTCTGGTGGTGACTTCCCTCACACATTCTGGTGGTGACTTCCCTCACACATTCTGGTGGTGACTTCCCTCACACATTCTGGTGGTGACTTCCCTCACACATTCTGGTGGTGACTTCCCTCACACATTCTGTGACTGCCTCATGGATCCCTTTTCTCGCAAAACTCTCTGAGGCGCCCATTGTTTTGTGAGGGCCGCCTGCTTCCCTGCTCTCCCATAACTTCAGCCAGTGGTGTTGCACCTCCCCTTCCTGCCATTTTTGAAGCGCCTCAGAAGCTGGTGTTGCAACAAATCTTCTCCCCCTCCCTGCCATCACACATGGCATACCAGGATAAGGGATAAGGCTCAACTCTTCCCACAGTCGCACCTCCTACGTACCTCGAATTTCACTGCCCCCTCTTACCCATCCCCCAATGACCTCTGCCCTTCCTTACTCTGTTCTGACCTCCTCTTCCTGTGTCAATCTTAGCAGGGGTGGGCGTTAAGGACTCCAAGCAGTCTCTGCAGCCTCCCCCCTGCCCTGCAGCCTCCCCCACGCCCTGCCGCCTCCCCCCTGCCCTGCAGCCTCCCCCACGCCCTGCCGCCTCCCCCCTGCCCTGCCGCCTCCCCCCTGTCGCCTCCCCCTGCCGCCTCTCCCCTGCCCTACCACCTTTCACCTGCCTTTTTTATCTCTCGGTGCTGACCTCCTCTTCCTGTGTCAATCTTTGCAGGGGTGAGCGTTGAGGACCCCAAGCAGCCTCTCGCTGCCTCCTGTGGTACAGGAGTCACTGCATGTGTGCTCGCTCTGGTACGTGCACTGCACCACGCCGCACCACAGTGCACCACGCCGCACCACAGTGCACCACGCCGCACCACAGTGCACCACACCGCACCACAGTGCACCACGCCGCACCACAGTGCACCACGCCGCACCACAGTGCACCACGCCACACCTCAGTGCACCACGCCGCACCACAGTGCACCACAAAACGCCACAGTGCACCACGAAGCACCACAGTGCACCACGCCGCACCACAGTGCACCACGCCACACCACAGCCAGAAGTCGCTGTATGTGTGCTCTCTGTTCCCCCTGGGCTACACTCTGATATTCGCCTTCTCTCCCTCTCTCTCCATACCGCTTTACTATTGCATCTCCTTCCCAACCCCTTCTCTGCCTTATTAAAGGCTCTGGCTCGTCTGGGTTGATGGACGTGACAGATTATGATGGGACATGACAGAATATGACAGCTCGTGGACTCAATAGAGTCTGTTTTTGAGAATTATTAACCACTAGAACCCCTTCTTCTGCACTCCTTCTTCCCCAGGCTCTGCTATTCTATCTATCTTCTCCTTTGCCCCGTTGCTGCAGGCACTGGCTCGTCTGGGTCGGTGGGACGTGCCCGTGTATGATGGCTCGTGGACAGAGAGGGGTAGTGCTCCTTCTGTGCCTCGTTTCCCTCACACTCTGCTATTCTCTTCCTTATACCCCCTTCTGCACCTCGTGTTCCTCCGTCTCTGCCCTCCCTCGCTGCAGGCACTGGCTCGTCTAGGGGCGGTGGGACGTGCCGGTGTATGATGGCTCGTGGACTGAGAGGGGTAGTGTTCCTCCTCCTGTAATTTGTGTCCCTCACACTCTGCTATTCACCTCTCTTGACCCTTCTGCACCACGTGTTCTCTCTCCCTGCTGCAGGCTCTGGCTCGCCTGGGGCGGTGGGACGTGCCCGTGTACGATGGCTCGTGGACTGAATGGGGTAGCCTGCAGGACACTCCAGTTGTCAAGGCGGAGTGACAGCATATGGCATTTAAATTCCAATCATGCATGCGTGAAATGGCATGCGTGAAATGGCATGCGTGAAACCCCTCCCACAAAGTTGTGTGATGGATTAGGGTATCCATGTGTCGTGGTGGAGCGGAGTCTTCATGTACACGGCGTGCGGGCACCTTATTAGATGTGCTGTGCCTGTTCGATTTTTGAGTCGACTCAAAAAAAGTCTTCATGTACACGGTGTGCGGGTACCTGATTAGATGTGCCTGCCTCTTGGTGGCCATCCTCCCAGCTACCGCAGTCACTTCCGGAGAATAGAGGCTGCTTTGATACAGTAGATTGGAGACGTCCTTCCAGACTGTTGGTTCTGTAGCTGTATTGTACCTTATTGGCAAGAAATCGTTGTCCTCTAGAGGGGTTGATGTGTGCTTTTCACTTGATGAGATGTTCTTTCTCCCTCCCTGCCTCAGTTGCCTCGCTCGCCACCCAATCAGTGTCGTCACTCGTTAGATGGCATATGGGAAGAGCCCTTGCACCGCCAACCTGAGATGGAATGTTGATGTGTATCACAGTGAAAGGCAGTGTACGGTAATGGTGTGCTTGACGCTGCAATGCTGTCAACTCAAGCACCATGCACAGACACACACAGACACACACAGGCAGGCACCACACAGACACACAGACAGACAGACAGACACCACACACACACACACACACACACACACACACACACACACACACACACACACACACACACACACACACACACACACACACACACACAGACAGTGCAATGAAGTGTATCACTTTATCTGGAAGATTAGGAATACTGATGTGGCAGCATACCGTACTGTACCTACGGTACCCATGCAATACCGTAGTTATGAGGTGAGCTGAGTTCAGCAGGGAAATGGATACCAGCACCAGCATTGCTGAGGTTGGCTTCAATTCAACCAATCAAGTGCAATTGTTGCTGAGATTGGAATTCGGAACATCCATTTCAAAGAGTCTTTCACAAGCGATTTGCTAGCTTGCAAAAGAAAAGAAGCATGATACAAGCACACAGGACAGGACGACGCAAGAGCCTTCCTATGTGAACAAACCTACCTACCTACCACTCTCCGCAACAAATACCACAACTGCATTCCTCATCATAACACACCAGACCAGGCCAACTTATGGTGGATGGCATGTGTCCACTGATTCCAAGTGGATTACTACCGGTACCGATCATGTGACAGGTTCAGGGCTCAGGCCCCTAACTGGAGTTCAACCCCAGAGCCAGCTTCAGCCTGGTCACTAGCTCCTCCTTTCTCTCTCTGATCAGCAACCCCTTCTCCTTCAAACACGTCAGCCTCTCAACAGTCACCCCGTCCACAACCCCTTCTCCACTAATTAGAGTTCAACCCCAGAGCCAGCTTCAGCCTGGCAACCAACTCCTCCTTCCTCCCTCTGATCGACAAACCCTTCTCCTTCAAACACGCTCTCAACCTCTCAACAGTCAGCCCATCCACATCCCGCTCGCTCGTCATCCCCTTAAGAGTCCGCCCCGCTTCCCGATCCTGCTCCATTCCGCCACCGCCGCCGCTGCTCCCCACGCCCGGGCCGCGTTTCGCCGGTCTCCCGCCGGATCTAGTCGCACCAATCGCGTCGTCCTGACCGGGATCACCTGTGGCAGGCCTCTTGCCTTTATCTTGAAGTCCTGATTGCCGTGATCTGGTGTCGTGAGCCGCTGCAGCAGCACCAGCAGCGCCAGTACCAGCAGCAGCAGAACCAGAAATACCAGCAGCACCGGTACCAGCAGCAGAAGCACCAGGAGCACCGGAAGCTGTCTTCTTCCCCTTGTCTTGCGCCGCCTTTGCTGCTTCCGCGTCGCGCGTCTTCTTCATGGTGAGCGCGCGAAGCAGGATGTTCGTTGGATCGGTCGTGATGATCTGATCGGACGGCGGAGACGTGTCGTGGTCGCAGATGTACACGGGGATCGACGACGACAGCGTGCACGCCGCCGCGGAGAAATTGCCGCGAGACGGAAGGTTCGCGAGAAGGGACGACATGGCTGCCGACGAAACTCCTAACCCTTAAAACCGGGCGGCAAAATTTGGGGGAAAAGACCCGGTAACAACTTCAGAAACGTCTGAGTGGTGGCGCTAAAGAGCAGGTTACAATTGCCCCACTCCAGCGACGTTTTCGCTTTTGGGAAACTTTAGAAACGCACCGAGGAGAACGCAGGCAGCGAGGGGAGGCAAAGCAGCGTCCCAACGCGAAACAATGAAGCCAGCAAGCTCTCAATACGCGAGCGCTGATCGCGGCGACAAGCGACAGAACAGCCCCGTCGAGGAGATGAAGTGCACGTGCACGAGGGAAGACGGCGCAACCGCCTGCTGCGATCGCTGAGGCTCACCAAAATCGCTGACCGACAAGAAGTCGAAGCCAGATGTTCCGCGACAGTCTTCTAAGGTGCAAGGTTCAGGTAACAAACTATGCTAGGGAGTGAATAGACGCACAGCACAGCAGCCATGGCGAAAGCTGAGGTGATGTGGATGGAGTGAGAAGAAGCAGCAGGCCCAGCAGTCACCAGACCGAACCACAGCGGAAACCGCAGAACCCCATCCGATTTTCACTAGCACCCGGTATGATGAATGTTTCCTTCGCTGATACCCGTTATTGCACGATCAGCGGTCAGCATAAAAGACGTGAAACCTTGCTCAGTGCTTATGCATAACAGACAGACACATACCGACACCATCTCATCTTTATCTTGTACTGCCTTGCCGATTCATTACACTACACGAGGCTGATTCAGCGTGCTGAATTTGTACATGGATAACAGCTGTATTAGTCTGTTAACAATAATATGACAAAACTAGTGTCAACAACATACTCTTCACTAACAGTCTTTTAAGGTAGGTTGCTCAGGGCATACAGAGCCAAGCCATAGCTCCAACATGGCCATGGATACTGGCCAAGAGTAGTGTGTGCCATCTTTTGACAAGTCCGGACGCGAGAGTGTCATGGGTATGGTTGAGATGAAAGGAACCTTCCATGAATTGATCAGGCTGCACACACATGCAAACACGGAAACACTAAGTTGTTCACGAAAAGACAGTTCTAAGGATTTCACTAGGAAGTTGCCGAAGCACGGAATGCATGAGGCAGATTTCAGCAGCAACGTGCAATATGAGCAACCGAAGAGTGCCCAGGTGCTAACCTGTGGTTAGCAGCGTCGAAGGCAGGGGTGGTTCATGGAAGGCAGCAGGTCAGGAGCAACAGCTGACTGCTGCACTGCCCACGGCCCCAACCACACCACTGCTGAGAATCCTAATAAATGTCTCAATAGGTAGAGAGATGTGCTAACCTGTGTGCGGCGGCGTCGAATGCTGAGAGGCGGGGGTGGTTCATGGAAGGCAGCAGGTCAGGAGCAACAGCTGACTGCTGCACCGCCCACGGCCCCAACCACACCACTGCCGAGCCAGGCCCCCCCATACCGCCATTCACAGCAAAGCGCACCGAAGCCACAAACTCCCGGTCTGCAGGGAGAGAACGACATAATATATCGCTCTTATAATATGTAACGAACCATGGCCACACACATGGATAATGAAACTGGCGAATGGCTCGAGCAAAAAGCATCCAACCACCCAGATCTGTTTGTGGGCGTTAAGGCTCCAAAGAGCAAGAAAAACACATTTGAAGAAAACCCACCAAGGGATTCTTGTAAAGACTAAAGAAAATACTTACCAAGTGCAGCGGCATATTCTTCTGGCGAATCAAACGCCGCCAGGTCATGCAGCCCGCTGGACGCCAGCACAAAGTCAAACGGCGCGTGCTCATTGGCCAATGGGCCACGTCGCGTGTGGTTCACCATCCAATCCCTGTACAACGGCTCTGATGCGTTCGAGTGCGCCACAAACACCGCCACAATCTGGTCGGCATCTGCTGCCCGCTGCCGCTCCCTCTCTTGTTCCTCCTCCCGAATCCTGCTCGCTGTGCGGAGATCCCGAGGGTCCTCGTCTGTAGCTGACATGTCGAGCACATCCCGGCCTTCCAACGAATCATACTGCTCCGCTCCTCCTTGGCTTCTGTCTCCGCTCCGCCTCCTGCTGCTCCCGGTTGGCATTTCACTACCGATTGCAGCACGCTCATTCAGGTCCCGACTGCGCTTCCTGTCGTTGAGGGAAGCTGAATCTGGTGCGGTCGCATTCAAATCCACTGGTATTCTGCTCGTCATTGCGGCACGGGATTGCACCATGGTGAAAAGAGGGGGTGGGGCGATGGGAGATCAGGTAAGGCAGGGCTTAAAGGTTTAGCTGCTACAGAGACACTGACCTGTTCCTGCAGAAGCATCCGCTGGGGTGATGGTGATATCGGGGCGCTTCAATCGAGGCACCAAGAGCTCACGATGGTGACAACAGGGGGTGGGGAGATGGGAGAGAAGGTAAGGCAGGGATTCAGAGGTCCAGCTGGCAGGTATGGAGATGGACCTGGTAAGGCAGGGGTTGAGAGGTTTGAGGGCAGGTAAGGCAGGGGTTGAGTGGTTTAGCTGCTACAGAGACATCGACCTGGTCACGCAGAAGCATCCAGTGGGAGTTTAGGCTTGAGGGCTGAGGCACCAGGAGCACAGGGTTGTTGTGGTAAGAAAGATGGGTGGGGTATCTCTGCCAATACTGAAAAAAGTAATCCAGAATGACAGTAACCAGCCTAATACAGGTACGAGCGCAGTACGCCACCGACCTTGCTACAGCAAACCCGTTGCCCTCTGCGCCATAGTAGGTGGTGGAAACAGCGGGGCCAAGGCGGCTGTGGTGCACAAGACAGATGATAGGGAAAAGATTACGTGTTGCAACCTTCTCCCACCACCCTACCTTGCAACAGCAAATCCGTTGCCCTCTGCACCATAGTAGGTGGCGGCGACAGTGGGGGCGAAGTAGGTGTGGTGCACTGCCACGTGCTGCCCCTCTGACCCCGGCACCCACGGCACAGGGCCCTGCATGTGCGCCTGGTGGCATTCAGAGTTTGGAGAGAGA